TTCGCTACTAGTAACAAGTGCATCGCTACTAGTAACAAGTGCCTTACAAGAAATACAATTAGATTTAGAAACGGTTCCTCGGACCTTTGTTACTAGTAACTTCTTGTTCCTAGTAGTAAGGCACTTGTTACTAGAAGCAAAAAATAAGATCCAAAGAACTGTTTACCCTAAAAACGAATGAACCATTTTGACATGCAAAGGAAGCTTCCTTACCACCTGCCCTTCTTACCTAACTGGTCATTGTCTTCATGGCATACCTCCCTCCACCCAAAAAAAATTGACAAAAAAAAGAGGCAACGCGATGCGAACCTAGAAGCAAGCAAAAGAAATGACCATTGTTCTTTGTTTCTACTAGCGATGAATTAAAGCATAGAAAGCATCGCGATGCGATGCAAACGCATAGAAAGCGTGACAGTGCACATGATCAGTTCCGAAAGCTCGTGTGCGCCCATCTGCCGCAGCCTAACCAGCTCCACACACAACAGAAATGAAATGCTTGCCAACCTAGAAGCAAACTATTAGTCCTTTCTTCATTGTCCTTTTTCTTTGTCTTTCAATCTACTAAGCGATGAATTCTAGCAATGAAATGAAATGCTTGCAAGATCGAAACCAATTGGAGCCCATCAAGAATAAGAGGGAGTCTTATCAGTCGAACAGTTGTATTGAATACAGGACGCTACTAGGGGCTCCTGGCAACCGCTACTAGGAGCAAGGACGTTAACACCTCGAAAGGCCTCAATTAAGAGTTCTGATGCATTTTACACTCATTACTCATTAATGAATTCTTGTTCCTAGTAGCCAGTTGCTCCTAATTAGTAGCAATGCCAGGAGCTACTAGTAGCGTCCTTGCTCCAATTGCTCCTAGTAGCGTCTCATTATTGTTCATGTTCAATTCAGGAACCCTTGCTCACCTGAAGCAATTGTGTACAAAGATTGGCATTGCAAAATCGTCTCCTTTGCATCTATTCTTCAGTGTGCTCGCAGTTCAAAACATATTGTCTCAACATAGTTTGACTGCTTCACACTGGATCACCATTTTCCTTGCACAGCACATGTCCGAAAACACAGAAGGTTGAATAATGAATTCTTGTTCCTAGTAGCTAATTGCTCCTAGTAGTAATGCCAGGAGCTACTAGTAGCGTCCTTGCTCCTAGTAGCGATGCCCTTTGCTCCTAGCAGCGTCCTTGATACTACTGATGTCGACACTTTGTTCAGACTCTTCGATTGATCAATTTGATAGCGCTGCACGTCGATTGCCTTGTAATGCTTTTCGGCCTCTGACAACTTGCCCTGGTCCTGCATGAGAAGTGGGCATAGGAAAAAGGAAAAACAAAAGGAATGAACTGAAACACAAAGGTATCTTAAGCCTAAGCTACCAGGAGCAAGGACGCTTCTAGGGGCTCCTGGCACCGCTACTAGGAGCAAGGACACTTCTTTTTTGAACGGAACAGGAACGCCTTGACACGTGAACTTTGGATTGGGGAAGATTCCGGAAGAAAAAATTGTCTGGTTTGAAGTTTGAACAGCAATATCCCTTTTGGTTGTTTGAAACCGTTTGCATGTTGTTTGTGTATTTCTATTCTTCAGACCTTCTCACCCTGTTCCTGTTATTCAATTTGACCTTGTGTTCGTATTCAAACTGCATACAACAAAATCCTACTAGCGATGGCCTCCATCTTCAAAGAGCCCGTTGAGATAAATTTGAATATCTTTGAATGCTCGACTCACATGAAGCGCTGGTCCTCGAGGCTAACTGCAAGGTTGAAGATGGCATCAATCCTCAACACAGGACTTAAGATTGGGATACTTCGGCTGCAAATTCTCGACATCCTTGGTGGATCTTTAGATAAGGACTACAGCAAGCAAAGTGATGGCAAGGACATGCACTACAAGTAAGATCCGGGAGCATCGAGGGCATGAATTCCATGGCTACTAGGGTGGAGGCCATTGCTACTAGGAACAAGAAGCTACAAGAAACAAGGGCATCGCTGCTAGTAACAAGGCACCTTACTAGTAGCAAGAAGCTAGTAGGTTGGAGGCCATCGCTACTAGTAGCAGGAATTCAACTGTTCGCAGGAAATCTCTTGCTTCGCAGCAACAATAGCAACTGGGGGGGAGCGGGAAAACGGACGACTTGGAGACAGGAAGTGGATCGGCTGTTGGGAAGGTGCGGCGTTGTAATTGGGAAGACCGGCGGGGGTGGGTGTGAATTTTAAGAATGCCCCGCCAAAGCGAATGGCGACACAGGCAGGAACAACAAATGACATTGGGAAAGGGGTGCGTCCCCGTTGTGAGCGGGGTCGGGCTGTCGACAGACCCGAGTTTAGCTCCTCCCGAAGAGGTCGCGCCTGCCGCTTCGGATAACGACATCGTTCCAGATCGTTCCACCGAACCGGACGACGGAACGATGGACAGAACTACTAGTAGCTACTAGTAGCTCCTGGCATCGCTATTAGGAGCAAGAACGCTACTAGGGGCTCCTGGCCGTAGGGGCAAGGACGCTACTAGTAACAAAGGACGCTAGTAGTAACAACGCACCTTACTACTATAGAATCACGACAACGTATCAAGCGGAATCTGTTTCCCAAAGTCGCTTCAATCGGATCGGTTGCCGTCGACAAGAAAGATCAGCGTACACGATCGTTACTTCTGTGATCTTCTGTGTAAGCAACTTGCTACTAATAGTAATGGCCTAATAGCGATGGCCTCCACCTAGTAGCTTCTTGCTACTAGTAGCTTCTTGTTGTAGTAATGGCCTCCAACCTACTAGCGATGGCCTCCACCTAGTAGTAGCTTCTCATCGCTATTAGGGTGGAGCCGTGACCTCCGACCAACCCCAAACGATCCTTTGGCAAAGAATGTATGTTTTTCCTTCGTGTCAGGATGCGCCGCTGCTTGAATTTGGAAACTTAGTCTGACTTTTGCTGTTCGTGGGTCGACAGACCCGACATTGTTTGTGTATGTTTGCTTGGTTTCTCCAGTTTTTCTGCACTTGCATTGCCACAAGCAAATACTTTGAGAATAAGGCCTCTCGTCTTAGCATGCAGAAGGAGGGAGGGGACACATCCAGGCGAACACGCAAGACAAGCTCAAAGGGGGCAGGAGAATCTAGGCTTCTCAACAATTGAACAACCAGCTATTGACGCATCAATCTGGCAACGTGCTGACAACCCAAACACTTGACAGGCCGGCGCTGCCCGGCACTGGTGCAATGACGATAAAGTTGACACATGTTGACACTCAGGAACAAGTACCCTAATAGCGATGGCCTCCCACCTAGATCATCGTTTGAGAAAAGGGTCACTTCAAAACAACTCAACTGGTGCACGACCAGAGTCCAGTGACTCTAGTCAGCGTACTTCCTCTTTACAAGAAGCCAACACATACATCAATCTACTAGTAGTAAGAAGCCAAAACCTTAAGTTTCCCAAAAAACCTAGGAGCAAAATCATTAGTGCGAGCGCTGCTTCAAGGAAGCGCGCGAGCTATCCTGCGTCCCATGTAGTAGCTAGCTAGGTACTACTAGCTGTTGTACCCCTAGCTAGGTACTAGCTGCGTCCTCTAGCGGCCTAACCCCCCTTATAAAAAAGAGAGATTTCACTTCTGCCTCGCTCACTTTTCGCGGTCCAGTCTTTGCTC